CGGCAAGAACGCTTTCCGGCGCCAGAGTCGCACCTGAAGCGTTTGAGTCAGAAGGGAAGCACGTGTACAGCTAAAGGGGGCCATTTTAAGCCCCATTTCCCCCCCCAATTTACTTATTTGGAAAGACCGATGCAACTATTATGCCTTCGTACGTAATAGAAACCCAAAGATTTATTTCTGCCTAAAATCCCCCATGCGGTAGCATCGCTTTTCAACCAGCATCTCCTCCTAATCTAAAAGGCTGTTGGTTATTTCAGAGCCTGCAGGCCTTCAGTCAGAGTTGTTGGAATTTGTCCAAATTGTTACATTCTCTCCTTGAGTTTGCGTTTGATTGTAACTTGAAAACTGAAGGAGCAAGAAAGCCAAAATGCCCAGGAAAAAGAAAGGCGTAAACCTGCTTGAGCGGGTCCAAGGGAGGCCACAAAGATGACCAGGGGGCTGAAGCACCTTCCCTGTGAGGACAGACTGAGCGAATTGGGGTTGTTCAGCCTGGAGAAGACTCGGGAGACATTTACAGCGGCCTTCCAGTATTAAAGGAGGCCTGCAGGGGAGGTGTGAGGGACTCTTGATCAGGGAGTGTGGTGATAGGATGAGGGGTAACGGTTTCCAACTGAAAGAGGGGAGATTCAGATCAGATATAAGGAAGAAATTCTTCGCTGTGAGGGCGGTGAGGCACTGGCACAGGGTGCCCAGAGAAGCTGTGGCTGCCCCCTCCCTGGCAATGTTCAAGGCCAGGATTTGGCTTGGAGCATCCTGGTCTGGTGGAAGGTGCCCCTGCCCATGGCAGGGGCGTTGGACTAGATGATCTTTGAAGTCACTTCCAACCCAAACCATTCTGTGATTCTATGATTCTATGATTTTTTTTTTGGGCGAAATCAGGAAAGCTGAAGAATTTGCTATCAGCAGTGGTGGACTCACAGCACCTGCTCTCTGGGAGGAAAGGCGGAAAAGATGGATAAAGAGTGAGTATGACTGCAAAACGTTAAGGCTAATAACAGGAACAAAAGTTTAAGCATTATAAATAACATTTAAAATCTAAAAACCATTATTGTGAAGGTACTCATAGTTTATGATATACACAAAATGTTAGAAGAAAATAATACGATTCCCAGATAAACTAGAACAAAGAAACAGCTTCAGTACACTACTGAAAGGAAAGGCCAAAAAAGGTCAGAAACCGATTCTGCTAGAATACTCCTTGCACATAACAAAAACAATTTACACGTACAGAGCCACAGATTTAGCAGTTGGCTAACAAAACAGAAGAGAGAGTTGCTACGTCCACACACTGACAGAGAATAAACTCTGGGCAGCACCTCTCAGTTCCCAGAGGCAGGGGCTGCAACAGCGAGCCCCTTCTTCCCGCAGCACACCCTGTCTCTCCAGCAGCAGGTTTGGCTGTCGGCAAGTGCAGTCTGGCACGGCAGATGCCCCCCACTGCAGACAACACTGTACGTCATACCAGTTCATAACATTCCCAGGACTGTTATTATTATCCTCTGTCACTCAGCACCAAACAAACCAAGTTCAAACAATGCTTTTAAACCTCCAGGACTGCAGTTAAATCCAGGGTGTCCCTGAAACCTGAAGCGAAAGACCCACACAGGCTGTAGGGGTATGGAATGTGTTCCCTCTTCTTCCTCCCCTTCCCCCATGATTCAAGTTGCTTCTACAGAGAAAAACGGAATAGTGGGATGGATGGTTTGAAACTGTTGCACTGTTTCGATGACTTACCTTTACTGATCCTGTGCTGTGAACAATGCTGGGGGTGAACTTCTCCTCTGATCATTGCTAATTAAAGTATTACATAATTATGCTGGAATTAATTAGGTGTTCCCACTCTCACAGCATTGTTGCAGTTAAACCATTTTCCTCCTGACCTTTCTTCCTTCCTACCTTTCTCTGCCTCCTTCAAAAGAGTTCAACTTTTATATGAAGTACTATGTGGCAGTATTAATGATGTAGCGGGACACAGTATCCACCCATAGACTAGCTGGGGGCCACAATATGGTCACATGGATCAGTTTGGGAACCATGGGTACAGGATCTTAGGCATAAAAACCCTCAGAAAAATGCCAGAGGAGAAGATCAGAGCCAAGAAGTTACGGGGGTGGCAGTGGGGAGATAGTTCCTTTTGTATAACACACATTCTATTATATAGCAAATGGGGGAAGGAAGAGTGACAGATGCCTCACTAAGACCTAGATTTCAGCTGCTGACTAGTCCACAGGGGGTTTCAAGACTTGACTGGACAAAGCCCTGAGTAACTTGGCCCGAATTCAGCGTTGACCCTATTTTAAGCAGGAAGGTGGATGAGAGACCTCCTGAAGTCCCTTCCCACATGAAGGATTTCTACGATCTGTTAAGGGGACAAAGGACATTAGAGAAAATCCAAACTAAGCAATTTGATGAGTAACCAAAGAAGTAATAAAAGCCACGCTTACTTGAACTTTTCTTTCAGTAACTGCAGTACAAGAGCAGCCACAGTATGCGGCTGAATAAGACACACAAGGTGAAGCTATACTTGAAAAATTCAGGACTCTATTTTAAACAATGCCTTTTTTTTTTCTTTTTACAAAATGTTCCAGACTGTACAGTACATAATTTTTACAAAGTAGGGGTTTTTTAATTATGTAACCATTTCTTCTTCTTCAATTTTGAGGTAGAGATACACACATTTCCAATTGGCATTTTTAAAAAACACTTAAGCCCTCCCCACTGTAATCCAAACATAACAGCAATGCACAAGAACACAGTGTCCATTTCTCCACTATTAATTGCTCAGATAAACTGGAAATCATGTCACGGCCTGTAAAGTTGCCATTTAAATGTTGGCCCGTTAACTCCATGAAGAAATCCTGAAAGATCAGAGCTGGTATCATGGAGGGGCATCCTCTAAGGCAACGCTTCCAGAAGGAGAATCCTCTGCCCCTGAAGCAGGGCTGTCAGGCAGAGGAAGAGAGGCATCTATTTCCAAGCTGTGCTGCTTCTCCAGATCACAATTCACGTCAGAATTTCCTCCGCCACTCACCTCTCCCTCTGACTCTTCAGTCAATTTGTCTTGGGCCTGGGCCGATTCCTCAGAATCTTCTTTTTCACGCAAAAAGCTGCAAATCATGTTAGGCCTGCTGTAGGAAAAATCTCTGTCCTTGATCTGTAACCACTCCACTCCACCTGATGCAAAGAAGGAAAACTGATATTAGTGACAAAAGGAGTTAACAGCAGTTTTTTCTTAGTTTAAGTTCACTGTTATTAAGGCTGAGCCTGACCAACATTTAAGTAAAAGAATCACTGAGGATAAAGATGTCTTTCAAGAATTTGGACCCACACTAATTTTTGTGGCGAGTCTCACCATGGGGCTTATTCATTTTCCTTGAAAAATAAGGCTATGAATAAGAGAAAGGCATTTGATAAAGAAAGGCCAGCTTAAAAGGAAGAGAAGCTTAACTGCTGACAAATGGACAACAACATGCATAGGCTAAACCAACTGATCCAAGACACATAGCTGCGGGTTTTTATGCAGATGCTGGAGGCATTGTGTATGGTTCATTGATGTCACCAGCTCGGTCACTAAAGAGCAGTCACAAGGGAGACAAAATTATTAGCAAAGTTACAACAAGCAGGAACGTCAAGATACAAAACTATGCTATGTCCACGTCACGAGCACTGTGTCCTGCTCAACCCATACTAGAAAAGAGAAACAAGAACTGGTGAGAGTAAAGTTAGCTCAACATGGAAAGAGACTTAAAAACCCCAATCACCCACAAGAAAAAAAAAAAAGGCAACAAAAAAAGACAGAGTCTAGAAGTCTGCTTGGAGGACACAGCTCAGATGGGGCAGATGGTCACGAGGCTGTACTGGGAAAACAACTAGGGATTGACAGATCTCCCAGTTACGATAACAAAACAAATAACTCATGCTCATTGGAAGCACCAGATCATACAGTTGTAACAACCACAAAAGCCAACAAACAATCGAGAAATCCCACTGTAAAGTTGTACTTTTTCCATACAACAGAAATGTGATTTGAAAACTAACTGCCATAAAAAGCGGTAGAAGTCAAAATTATAGACAGGTTCAAAAAGCAAGTGAAGATGACAGAGCCTTTGGGGACTAAAGACACAGCAGTCCAGATGAAAACTCTTGTCAGGATATTCATGAACTGCTGAGCACTGGCAGGATAGCCCAAAGAAAGGATTACACATGTACGTGGGATCACTCATGTAGAGGTCCCCTTCCTCCTAGTTTCCACATACCAGCTCACTACTGTCCATAGTGAGAAATACAGCACAGGACTAAAACACCTTTGGTCTGATCCAGTATGGCAGGTTCTGTTGCGTTTAGGTGTCAGACACCACCCTTAGACTCTTAAAATAACTTAAATGCAATCCAAAATACTGAGAAAATATTTTACAAACGCAATAAAGATAATAAAATGTTTGTTCACCTACATCTCAGAACATCTGACAATATGATAGGGAATGACATCAGAGACAGTTTAAGAACTCGTGTCATCTCCTGAACATGAAGCTCTTACAACCCACATGGAAGAGACTTCAAGGAGAACCGGGATTCCCCTCCCACTTGGATTTTTAGGCAGTAAGTGTTGCCAATTCACCAGGTGTTGTAGTTACTTCCTACGCACAACATCAAACTTCTGTCAGGGTACAGAAACAAGGTGGTTTTCAGCAGGTATCGTCACTATTGCTCCTCCAGCACAAAACAGGCTTTTGTACGAAGCAACATGTTCTCTAGTCTATCGTACTTGAAAAATAAGGGTTTCTGTTTAGTATCACCTACTTAATTATTCGGAGAGAAAAAATGGTACATAGTGTTGATAAGAATTCTGATGTTTGGCTAGATTCCAGATGACATTTCACATTACACCTCCTGTGACCAATGTCCAGCTGACTGCGCACATTTAATGTAAAATGGCTACATTTACATGTAATTAAAACATGAAGCAGTAACACTGACTCAAATGAAAAAAAGCAACAGGATACTGCTAATGAATACACTATATATATAGCAGGATACTCAATATCTGACTATATAAAAGCACTGACTTCCGTAAGACAAACCACCGCTGAAATAAAGCGAACACGTGAGCACTGAGTTCTGCCTACAGAATGAAAATCCGTATGAATGGTCTGCTAGGCGTGTCTTTGCAAATGAGTTAAACTCATTCACAGTTAACTGTAAATTTAGTAAGAACAATTCAGATGTAGTACACACAACATGGAGCTTCTTACTAAGGATATTATAGATTTTCAACAATTACATAGACTCAAAAAGTCATTAGAAAAATTGATAGAAGTAAAATAAGATAATTAAGAACCACTGAACAGCACCTCTGATTTCAGAACTAGTGCCAAAACTTTGAGGTGACAGAAAATCACCAGTTTGCCCTACTCTTACACTCTCCTGCAGGACTCTCCTACTAGCTACTTCTGGAGGCAGCACTGGTCAGAAGGAATCTCTCTCTCTTTTCTGTGTTCTGTTTTGTATTTTTGTGCACAGAAGGAAGTTCCTCTAACTTCCTGCACGCTTTTGACTCAAACACTGAACCAAGGCTGACACTCCTAAGTAAAATCCATCCATGTTCCTATGCACAACAGCAGAGGCACTAACCAACATTCTCTTCTCCTTCCTTCTTTTCTGTCAGAAGCGTCCGTGTCATGTTCAACTTCTTCATTGTGTGGCACTTGTATTTCAGCTGCACTTTTTGGTTGCCTTCTGCATCTACTATGAAGAGAGGAGAAAAAAACAATACCCTAAACCAAATCATTATAGTGAATTCCACCATCAGCTGAAACAAGAGAAATATTTTTAACCTCCCAGGCTACCACCGCAAACAGGACATCAAATCCCAGCAATTACCGTGCTCTGTGTTTTCTTCAAAAACCACACAGGTTCCCAAAGTATCTATGGAAAACAAAGAGAGAAAGTCTTAGAGACTAATGTATATCAGCTGTAGACACTGCATGCACTGGCACTGCTCCGGGAACGGTCCGACTTCCAGCCCCTGGCAAAGGCCCTGCCTTGGTAACCACACTGCCTCCTCGGGAACAGACAGGAGCATCGTGGTCACTGATAGTCACTACGAGGGAAGGTTCCAGATCATTTTCTTCCAGACCAGTGTTGTCACCGTAAGGCAAACGGGAGAACTACAGGCTGCACCACGTGTCAGTCCTGCTTATATAGGAGACAACAAGCACTTACTTTTAGGCATTTTATGTCCCACATTCTTCCCTGCAGAAATACCAGCTGGTGCACCCCGGCGCCAGCTTGCAGGCATACCTTCCAGTAAGGGACATGGATGCATGGCTAATTCAGCAGCCAACGCAGACCGGTGCTGTTCTATACCGTGTTACACAAACATCACCCACAACTTCAGCACCCCACAGGACCACCTTCTCCATTCGCAGTGCAATTAACTGACGTTAAGGAAGTTCTTTGTGTCACATGAAAAAGGAGAGTTTGTATCCACGCCATTGTTCCTACCTTCGTATTCTCCTGCAAATACATATCTGTCCACTTGTAAAATGGGCCTCTCTGTCTCTATTCCCTACAAAAAGAGGGACAAAATTGCACAGATGTCAGGTCTCTCTTAACCCAGTCAAATTTCTTGCTGTAAGACCAGAGAAGACAGATACAGCACAATCCAGATAACTATTTTTTCAAGGAATTGATGTAAAGAAAAAAAATATAAGATAATAACAGTAAAATAAGTATTCCTTAACATAGTAAATGTGAAATAAAAAAGTTCCTTTTAATACTAGAGATAAGGAACGGATTCCGGACTGTAAAGTTTTCTCAAACTGCCACCTTCATATGAAGAAAAGCACATCTTTAAAACAGGATTTATGGAAGTGGATAAGAGAGTTCTGCAAAGGATATGATTTTACAGCAGCTAGCAGACTCCTGAAAGAATGGCAAGACACACAATTAAATTAATATTTATTAGTTTTCAAAAAAAGTTAATAAAAGTACTTTTAGCCATTACAATTGACCCTGAGGTCTTTGCAACGCTAAACATGGGGTGCGGGGGGAGGAGGAGTTTCCTTTCTGTTTTTGTAGGAGGCCTAGTTAAGTAGCAATAACAAGTGTAACAAAGGGTTTAGCCAATCTAACTGTGGAATCAGTGTACTGTTAAAAAAAAATAAAATGTAATGACAATTTTTCAGTCTATCATCAGACATGTTACTTTAAGTACACTAAATACAAAGAATACACTAGATAATACAGTTCTAGTAATCACAACAAAACCAACAATGCTGAAGTGGTATAGAAAATGCTCTAGTGTGTTAAAAAAGGATGAAAGAAATTTAGAAAACTGCAGCCAGTGGTCTATTTAGGTTACAGTAAATAAATTTAAAGCGCTGTTATTTCCTCTAGGAAATTAATTTAACCTCTGCATTAAATTAACAAATAAAAATATACACATTTGCACGAGAAAAAAGATGTTATTTTCTAACCTCCAATCCATACAAGTTCTATAATGTGGAATAACTTTTAAAAGTCTTTGCAAAACACACACGGTGAAGAATTCCAGCAAAAAGCATTATACCAGCACCAGAAGTGCAACTGCAGGGTCACAGAAGCTTCTGCGATTACCGTGTGTGCACATTGTGAAGGGACTTGAAATTGTTGTTATTTAATTTTAATTTTTTAAACAAGGAGTGGGAGAGTAAGGCAGCAGTTCTATCAGCTCATTCCCTTCCTCTACAGCAGAGCTTTTCCAAATACGTAGACCAAAGTCCTGTTATTCTTAATGTAAGATATACCTATAAACTGCATTTTGGTAAAAATTAATGTCAGAGCAGAATACACTAATGAATGGAAAACGTCTTTTAATAGTACATCATGAACATCAACGTCATTCAGGACGTGAAGATAAGCACATGCTAAAAGATTTGAAGATGTGGCACCATGTGGCAAATAGCGTAAAATACAGAGTATCACACAGGTTAAAAAGAATTTGTGCAATTTTCCTCTCGTACTTCTAAAAAACCCAAAAAAAACAGAAGTATCTAAGGTCAGCAAGATTTAAGCTCTGGGATTCTCTCTGTTTCATAAGCTGAGAACATCAATAGCACTAAGCTAACATGTAGAACTATTTTCGGTTGTTTTCTTACTACAGGAAATTAATAAAAAAAAAAAAGAGCACAGCAGTACTAGGCAACAACATTAAGGTTTTCAATATTCAAAACTATTTCTTCGGCTGATTTGTGTTCCCTTTCGGACTGTGCAAAAACAGAGACCATCTTCCGGTTATGTGACCAGCATCACAGAAAACTTGCTAAACAGAATAACACAAAGCAGAATCTTTTATTGTAACACAAAGCAGAATCTTATTGGAGTTTTAACAACGGCTGTCCGTTAAGAAAAATCTCAAGGAATGCCTGCTCTGGGGAGTGAGGGCCAGTAAGTCTGGATACAAGTAGGATACTGTATAGATACTTAAAAGTATTTCTAGTAACATTATGAGAGAATCTCAAAGCACAAAATTTAAAAGAATCCCTACTGAAGAATACGTAGCCATTCAGCCACCAGTAGTGAATCATCTGTGTGACACATTTTCAGATCCAGGAAGCAAATCTGCTTATAAGAGCATATCCATCCAGTGATGGATGATTTACAAATTTTGACTGGATTCCTACATTTTAGATTTTCAGAATTGACTTTACCACCTCACATACATACTGATCAGTGGCACACTCAGATGTTCTATTCCATCTTTTCAGACTATACTAAAGGTCTGATTTCAGAAAGTATTTGCAAATCAATAGTACTTGTACTATCTATACAGTTTTCATAGTCCAATGTAGGTTTCGAAGGGCAAATAAAATTTGTCCCATACAGAGAAAGTGATTAAATAACTCAAAAAGAAAAGGACAGGTAAGCCAGATTCTTACAATAACCTCACAGTGAAGCAAACAACATCCAAAACTGTTTACCAAATGCTTAATATGCAGTTATCCTTTACGTTTACAACACCTGAGCTTGCCAGACAGTATCTGCAAAAAAACCCACTGTAAATACAGTGCAATTCAGAAAGATTTTGGCTTTACCTGTGAGCCATATTCAAGCTATTTGAAGAAGCGTGCTTAACAATATTTTTGTTTGAAGGTGTAAAATACATCATTTAAAAAAGATCAACTTGGAGCTTGAAACCAGAGGGGATAATGGTCCTAGCTTATAAAAAACTCTGAAAATAACTCCTTATATTTACATAATACTATATTCAAAGACCATATGTCGTCTCTGAAATAAAGAGAGCCCACAACATGCAGCCAAATACAGCTGAGACAGTTCACATAATTCTCTATCAAAGACTTGATCTAAATGTTACTGATGTCAAGGAATTCAGAAACAGCCTCAGTCCCTTGTTCACATGTGTACTGACTTACCCCTTTCCTATTGTGCTGTAATCACTCACCAAAATCTTGCATTTGTTTTCACATTTTTCTAAGAAGTCTGAATCAATAATTCCTGATAGTTCCACCATGACCAGCTGCTCCTACAACATAAGTTTATAATGTACATCTGTAATTGATATATCTGAATTCAGGGGAAAGAAAAAGAAAAACCCCCCCCCCCCCCAACAAACAACCCAACCCAAAAAGAACAGCATACAAAGACCCAGACCTTCAGAATAAACAGACCCTAAATCTGATTTATTCTGCATTTTGTCCAGAGAAAATGGCAGGCGGACATTGCAATACCCCGGGAAACGCAGTGACCCACTACTCCATCAGACACCTGTTTCACACCTGAATTTCCTGGCCTCCTCTTCCTAGCTAGGAAGGGAGCTCTTTTTTCACTCTTGAAAAATGAGGATCGATGTGGATAAATGGTTTATGAATCATAACAATACGACCAGTTACATACTGCAAAGTACATTTTTCCAAAGCTTTAGTACCTACCTAAATAAGACACCATAGTGAGAGGATAAGTTAAGCAACGTGTTGCTTGAAATGGTTACTTTTAGATCTTTATAACATACTGCTTTGAAATAAACTGTTTGCAATTCCTTACAATTTTGTGCGAGGAAAATGCAAAAACAAAACAAAAAAAATAGCCACCTTGAAAAATGTCTTTTCAAGGAAGAGTTTTCAAGAATCACCATCTATTAAGCATATATGAATTATATAATAATAGAAGAGTAATAGTTTGTATTTTCAGATGTTATGGAGGTAGGAAGCAACTGAAACTGGAAGATTGCTTTCTGACAATGCTGTTTCCCAGAAAACCTGAAGTAGAACAGCCAAAATGATACAGCTTTCAGGATGCATTTGCAGTTCAGAAAGCCAGTCTCATCCTGGGCTGCATCAAAAGAAGCATGGCCAGCAGGTCGAGGGAAGGGATTCTCCCCCTCTACTCTGCTCTGGTGAAACCCCACCTGGAGTGCTGTGTCCAGCTCTGGGGGCCCTAACAAAAGAAAGATGTGGACTTGCTCCAGTGGGTCCAGAAGAGGGTCACAAAGATGATCGGGAAGCTGGAGCACCTCCCCTATGAGGACAGGCTGAGAGAGTTGGGGTTGTTCAGCCTGGAAAATAAAAGTCTCCGGGGAGACCTTACTGTGGCCTTCCAGTGCTTA